TGTCTTTCGTAGGTGTCTAGCATGGAAACCTAGTTGACTTTTTCTTCAGCTAAGTGACTCATCAAGGATCAGTGCAGCAGTAAACGTGCCTGTCATTGACATTGTACTTGGCTAAGATGCATATATTTAAATGTTGACAACCAAAGTAATTTTTGGGCTATTTCACAAAAACATGAAATTTCTCACTTCTGCTTTTGTATTTTTTGTAATATTCCAAAAATTGTGGACAACCTGACAGATTCCCCTTTGGAAAATGGCTATTTTTTAATGCATCAAGCATGCTCTTTCAAATGATTTTGTCAGTCATTGAGCACTTAAAAATTTTTTTTAAAAAAATTGTGTTTTGTGTTTAAACCTTAAGATTTGTATAGCAACTTTAAAATAATAAATTCATAATTTGGTCAATTCAGGGTCAATCAATTTTAATCATATGAATATACAATATTTTCTGTTGTTTACAATTTTTATAAACCAGCATTTTGAATCTGCAAGCATAGTTCTCAAAACTGATGATAAAGTCACTTAATGGAAGACATTTATCCACAAAAGCAAGTTATGTAAAGGTAATTTGCCTTCATATCATTAGTTTGCATATCAACATCTGACCTTTATGGAGTGAAGCAAATAATGTTTTGAGCTAAAAAGGTTTCTGCCCAAAACATCTAATGACAAGAAACATAAAGACAAATTTAGGTTTTATTTAAAGCGTCCTGTGTACCACTAATATGAAACAGGCAAATCTTTAATTAGTTTTTAATTATCTTGGTGTCGCTTATGCTAAAAAAATCCACATGCAGAAGAGCATGTTGTTCTTGCAAAGGTGAGGCAAAGTGTTAATTGTACTTCTGCAATAAGTTTACTGATATAAGTTAAGATCTGAACCAACCACTTAGTTTTGGGTAACAAACAGATTTATGTTTCTTAATTTTACAGTCTAAACTTCATACAAACAATCCTAGAAGCAAATGTACTACTGGCTTTGTGCAGTTTAACTATTGTTGGGTTTGTTTGTCTGACATTATCAGTAAAAAGGCCTGAATGATAATAAAAGTGCAAGATTTGTTTTGATGCACAACAAAGCAAGAAATAAATGTCAGTCTTCTGTCTTTACGTTTGTTCAATAAATGCTGGCTGGGAACTTTTTAAAAGCTCTAAAAATGTCTCCTGCTGTCTTCAATAAAAATAGTCATGATAAAAAGAAAATAAAAATCCTACTTTCTGAGATGCACATAGTCAGGTCCTAACAAAGGAAAATAAATGCAACATAAAACCTTTAGATATATAAAAAATATTTATATAATTTAAAATAACAAGGCATTGAAAACTGAATACTGTATATTTATTTCTTTGCAATATTTGAAATAACAAATTTTTAGTTTTAATGTTTTCTTTTAGACCATTTTGTCTCTATACATTTAAAAATTAATTTAAAATAAGAACAACAAAATTTTTACCGTAATCCTCAGTCTAAGTACCATAATTATTTAATATCTAACCATTATACTTTAAGCTTTCTTTGAAATCTTTTGCATGAGTCAGAATAATTGCAGATTCTTTCAGAGAACAATAATGATAATCACTCAAACATTCTGTCTGATAAAAGCACAATTTTATGTATATTTTTTCTGCATCTTTTTCAGTTATGAATCTCCTTTTTCTGTTGCTTAAACCTAAAATAGTTTTATTTTGTGGTTATAGTATTATACATCATAGAGTCATAATCCACATATCAGCCAGAATAATTGCACAGTAAAAGAGCGAACTGGACCTGCTTCTGCTGCCAGTTCACATAGTCAGTTGGGTCTTCTTCCGCTGACCCCAGAAAACCTTTCTTCCCTCTGTGCACTTATTCTCTCTCTTTCTTTCTCTCTCTCTCTCTCTCTTTCCACCTCTCAGAATATGGGTCAGCGTTTCCAAAATCCTCATTCTGTTTAAAGTTTGATAAGTGCACTCCAGGTGGTAATGGGGTGAATATTAAATTCGCAATCAGCAGTTTCAAGTGTTCACCATTGGAATGTTCTGATTATTAAAGTGAATCATTTCCCAGAAGGGCCTCAGTTACATTACATGCTTCGCCTAAATGCGGAGTTAAAATACTCTGAGTGGAACTAAAGGGAATGGGGCTTTATTTATTTTGTCACCTCAGTCAAATTAAAAAGATCTAAATTCCATCATTAGTGGGAAGAACGAGAATACAGTCATATAAAGTCTCTGTATAAAAAATAATGAAGCAGGATGTAACCTTCAAATGTTATGGTTGCAAAATGTTATATGTCAAGAATGAAAAACAGATATTAATGTTTAATTAAACAAAAAATGATTACTGAATTAAAGGCACAACTGAATGTTTCCATGATATAATCAGATGTTACATGTAGGATGCTGCACTGGAAATGTCAGAAAACATTCAGGTAACGATCAACCTTAAATTTCATGAGCTAAGAGCTGTGGTGTCTAAATTTAGATTACAGTATGATGCAGTTTATTTTAGCGTGCTAATAGGGAAGCAGTACGACTGACAGTGCTGCTGAAATTTACTAAATTTACAGCATGTAGACAGCAAGAGAACAAGATGTCTAAAATTATGGATTGGGTCATTTTGAAAAGCTATCTTATCAAAAACGTCTGGGTCAAACGCTGTTTTAAATCACTGTAACCGTTTCCATCATCTATAGGCATTTCCAAATGATTTATTGTGAACACATATTCTCAAGTAGTTTTGCTTTGCTGAGGCTTTCCATTTTATGTTGTAGTGCCCTGCAATTCCACAATACATCAAAAGAATTTGTTGTGATTTCTCAGTTTGTTTGACAGCTTTACTTGAATACGTCAACTTCTGCTTCCCTTTAGCATTTAGCAAAATTAAGAGGGAAGGTTGTTTGATTGTTGGCAGTCCTTTTTTAAATGATTTTAGTTCTACTGAAGCTATTATTTACTACTAGTGTCTTATAATTCTGTTAAGTTATACATTGCAGTAATGGGTCGCCTTTCATATTTCTGGACTGTTCACTTTTTTTGACTCTTCATTTAGAGTGTCACAGTATCTTTGAAAATAAGAAAAAGCTCATGGTTGGCAGACTTTGTGTTGGGGTTTTTCTTCATAGCTGGTCTTAGTTTGACGATTTTACATCCACTTTTTATTTGCATTTGGACCTGAGGAGATGTTATACTTTGGTTTTTCAGGTTGTTTCGTCAGAGATGTTTGTAGTTATGAAGTTTAAGGAAATCTATTCAGGTCTTTCCAACTGTTTATACATACAACAATGAAAAATGTGGTGTACATATGCACCCTTGCACTCTCTCACCCCAAAATAAAACTTGACTTCCAGCTTCCCAAACCTGCATAATCAATAAATGGAGTCCATGTGAGGGGAATTTACACAGAACTAAAGAATGTCTTTCTTTATATGTACATATTACCAATTTTTGTTGTTGTTTTCAGTTTTTAATCAAACTCCACTGCACATTTATATTTGTAATGTTCTTGCCGCTGATCTTAGTCGTCATTTAGTGTAACAGAATAGTTGGATGCACTGTTTAATTACAGACACTTCAAAAATAATGCTGGATGAAAAATTACCTTTTGTGGAAAAAAAAAAATCTGCCTACTTGAATCAGGACATATTGCTCTGGCTCTTCATATTTCCACAATTAAAGAGCCACCCCTCCTAGAGCCACTCTAACAGCTGGCCATTAATCAGTCCTCGCGCTCGATTTCTCTTCCACCACAGGTTATGATTTTCACATTACCCTGCTCTCCCTAACGGCCATCCAACAAGAAAATGACCCCTCTCCGCCACCGCAGCACAAACGAGAGAGAAAGTAGCAACCTCTCTATTTGTATAAACTGTCTACATGTATGGCAGGATAAAAGTAAGTTTTTATGTATACTTAAACATTTATGCTTAACCCCCTCCGATGGAAAATCTTACAGCTATTATTCTGTTCTAATTACACTTTCCTCCTGAAACAGTGGATCAGAGGGCACCATTGACTGCTTTTAATCCGCCACCAAATTTTAATTAACACAGACGTGACCCCCGTCTCTGATACATCCCGCAGAACGTCGGGATCACAATAACTCATAAATCACAGTCACAGATTTCATTCCCCCCCTGCTTCCCTGCTTTGATGAATTTCCAGATGGGGGCTGGTGACTGTTAAGGTCGACAAAAATATGAGAGACAGACAGAGAGGGAAAGTGTTTTGGAGAAAGAGATGGATAGAAGAAAGTGGTAAGAAGATGAACAGCGAGGTTAAATTCTGGGAAATTTATAAAGTGTCTTTATGAGGAAGAGAGAGGGAGGGAAATGGCAGCTGCTCTCGTGTGCTGTCAAACTTTGGGAGATTTGTTACCAGGGAGAGGATTATGGAGGCTGTGAAATGGGGTTGAGTTAATATGCTGGCCATTGAGGAACACGACATGGGCCTGCCAGCGTCAGTCTCCAAAAATCAAAAGGCTGAACGGGATTTTGAAAAATTAATGAACATCTCTTATGTCTATGCAAGTATCTCCGATATTCTTTAATCAGTGTTTTTAAATCATGGACTTTTCAGAAATGATCATTACCTTAATTGAAATGAATGCATATGAGGTGTCATTAAAGCACAGCCTGCCACAAACAGCTACTCGGTTCGCCTTTGTTTATGGGTGTTTGCTCAAAGTGTGTGCAACTGTGTGTAAATTACTGGATCAGAGTGTGTGGAGGTAGAGGTGGGCAGGGTGCCGGGGTTTGTTATTACTAAATCGCTCATCCATGCTACTAATTAAGATGCATAGCATCCCCCTATGAACGCCAGTGTCGCTAATTATCAAACGATGTAGTGCTCACCAGATATGAAAACTGGCAGCCTCTGTAGTCATGTTACCAACCTATTACTGCTACAATTATCAAGTGCTCGTCATTCTCCTTGTTAGTCATCTGCATGCATTTTTTTTCCTAACTAATGTTTATTTCTCATTCTTTTGTCTTTTTGCCCCCCCCCCCTTGTTATTAAAGGTTATGGCTTTGTGGATTTTGACAGTCCAGCTGCAGCTCAGAAGGCCGTGTCATCTCTCAAAGCCACTGGGGTGCAAGCCCAAATGGCCAAGGTAAGGAGGGAGTTTTTTTTTTCCACCAGACACTGAATAGCCATGTGTCAATATGAGATTCTCCCATTTTAATTTTGAAGAAACATCACATTTTCTCTGTGTTTACACATGAAATTAAAACAACAATTTGCCCTTCCACAAAACTGAAAAGCAACTGTTGTTCAAATTATTGGTACAGCCATCATTGATTTATGGATGTTTTGAATTTGATATTTAAGATCAAGTCAAAAATATATCTATTTTATACATGTTGGATTAGAAATGAGAGCACTACTGCCATTTTTGTGATATATTCAAAAATGGCAGTTTGGTTTTGTTTATGTGCCTCACTGTAATTGCACATCACTAGCTATTTCAGCTAATAGACGCCATCCAATCTAGTGACTATATAAATCAATGTGCAAAATCTAACATTCACAGTTTTGAGATTCTGATACCCCAAACTGACAGAATTAGACCGAACTCATATTAATTAGTCATGTGGTCTGCTCAGGTTGAGCCTGCAGGAGGCCACTTCACAGCCATGTTGCTGATAGCTTATGTTTTTTTTTTAGTTAAAAATAGCGCTGCTCCAAATGAGTGAAAGTGGGCACTCCTTCTGTTTCCTTGCTATTGCTTTTCAGAAATATTCAAAAGAGCTTAATTCATCTTTACCGTAGGGAAGACAAAAGTAGAATCATGGAAAATAGTAAAATTTGACAAAATTGTACTATTTTACTATTATATACTATTTTACTATTTTTGTAGGTGTTTTTAAACTGTAAACTTTCGTAACTCTGGTTACCTTTAAAGTATGAACCAACCGATGCATATTCATATTTCCATCCCATATTTATATCTCCATCTCATTTATTTTCTGCGGAAAATTAAATTTAACACATTTAAAAATGTAAATGGATCTCCCGGGGTCTCACAAACATTCAGCTGTACACCACGAACATACTTTTTCTGGATGTAATTATCCACATTATGTTGCAGTTTAATGACAACTTTTAATGTAAGAAACCCTGTTTATTGTGGTCTGTGAGCTGCTTTGTCTTTCTTTGAGACATTTAAAGGTGACTGTGGAGTATGCACATCTGTTTATTTCTGAGGCTTTGTGGAAGGACAAGATGTGCAGAAATAAGGATGTAGTGCTTGTTTCAGTGAGAGGATGTGGGCTGAATGCTGGTTTGCGTGTCTGCTTGTGCCTGAACTGGATCTGCTCTGTGAACTTTGACCGGTCTGTTTAGTTGTGTTGTGCCACATTAATAAAGCGTTAAAGTAGAAGCAGATGAGACAGCCTCATATAAAGAGCAGTAAGTTGTTCGATGAAGTCCATGTTGGCAAGCAAGGCTAAATGGTGAAATCACACACAGACCACAACATGATCTAATTTGCATCTTAAATATTGAATCCTAAATCTTTGACGTGACTATAATGTGATTGTCAGCCAGACAAGAAATTAAATTAGACAATTTTTTTATTTCATTTTTACATTTTATTTAACAAATGCATCTCACAAAATTAGAACACAGTTAAACATTGCATTTATCACAAAATGTTCACCGTCAATTCCAGTTTTTCCTTCCACAAAAAAATTCCATTAAATTAATTTTAAACAGCCATTTCTTCAGAAACAATATTTTAGGGTTTTCCCTCTGTATTGAGGGTATTGGTGAACATCTGTGGTTGATGTTTATCATATAGGTTATAACATAACGTTGTCTTTGATCAGTGTTTTTTAGTTGTCAGTGCAAAACTGACAACTAAAACTTTTCTGAAAAAACCTTTAATTGTGGGTTTCATTAGTTCGGAGCCAAAATCTGTAGAATTTACCAAAAAGCTTGAAATATTACATATCGTGTCACCATCTCATACAGAATGTTTGCCTTTTGAATTGATTTACTGAAATAAATTACTCTATCAAGGATGTTTAATTTTCTTAAAATTAAAATTTGAATTTCAATTTGTATTTTCTTGTTAGTGGAAGAGCGGTTGCTGTTAAACAAAGCCCAGCAGGGGCCTTCCTCTGCGATGCTGCAGCAGCACCAATCAAGTGTTCAACAATGTCCGAATATCTAAATAGGTGGGGAAAAATGTCGGCAGCATTGAAGCAATAAATATGGTGATGACTTTGAGAGGTGCACCATGAGTGACTTTCACAGATGAGATGTAAGCATTTGATCTGATCCCAAAAATCCCCTCCCACCTCCCACTCTTGAAGCCAAAGAAGGGCTGATGAGATGGAGAATGGCGCCAGTGAAGATGACAGAATTGATGATAACGATGAAGGTGGCGATTATTTTGATCAAATGGGATGAGATCTGACAGGGGGAGATGATATCCCGCATGGTGCTCAGGTGTGCCATTTCTAAAATGCACCATTTGGCCGTTTCCTCTCCTCACCAGTGTCCTTCTTCCAATATTTATAAGAGGGCTGGCTCTCAGAATACAGATAGGATCTTTGTCCATCTCATTTTAGGGCCTTTCTTTGCATTGCTCACCTATTCTCTGTCAATATTTTCATCTGAGGGGGTCCTGTGTCCCAAAACAAAGGAGCTGACCTTTTTTGGAGAACCTTTGTTTGCATGTGTGCGTGGGCACATTCATGAAATCATTTTTTATTAGCATTTATGTATAATAGTTGAGCTTTGAATGCCCCCTTGCTCTGTTCATTCAAATAGAAAGGCCAGGATTCTTTTTGTGCTGCAACCCTGTGCTTTTATCACACTTGTGAGAGACATTAAGGAGTAGTTTGCTTTTATAGACTCCTACTGCATCTCTCTAATGTCTCTTTACCAGGTATCACAAACATCACTCTGCCACCTCTACCTCCTAATGCCTCCCCCCTGTCTTTTTTCTCTTTGCCTTTTGTTTGATGCCATTTTTACCCTCTGGCGTAAACATTAATACCCATCTTTAATTTCACATCCACCACAGGTTGCCCAGCCAACATCCAATGAGAGTGATTTATTCTCATCAATAATTAAGTGTGCTGTTTTTGGGCCTGCCTATCTGCCAAATTGTTTTTGATGCCATCCATTTTCTGGAACAGCATTTTTTTGTTTGCAGTATTCATAATTTCATTTAAAATATATTCAACTATTTTTTCTGTTTTCTTTTATTGTAAAGAATGATTTCTGAGAAATACCTAAGTTTAAATTTTAAATATTTTTAAAAGCATAAAATTATGCTATATATATATATATATATATATATATATATATATATATATATATATATATATATATATATATATATATATATATATATATATATATATATATATATATATTTCCATTTGTAAATGTTATACATTTCTTTTTGATTCAATAAATACATACAGTGAGGAAGACAAGTATTTGAACACCCTGCAACTTTGCAAGTTTTCCCACTCATAAATCATGCTGCAAATAAGTAACACACAAATGATACATCCTGATTTCCTTTTTTTGTTTGTTTTGTTTTAGATTACGTCTCTCACAGTTGACATGCACTTAAGATGAAAATTTCAGGCCCCCCCATGATTTCTAAGTGGGACAACTTGCAAAGTTGCAGGGTGTTCAAATAGTTATTTTCCTCACTGTACATAGCACAGCAGTGTTTTGCATGAGAGAGAAAAAGGCAGATGAGTTCTGGATTAAATCTAAATCAGGAAGTAAATCACAAATGCCGCAACTTCCATATGAGGAACATTCTTCCCAATTCTCTCGCTGCTCCTGCTCCATTTTGTCACATATATCTCCCCACAACAAAGTAGTAAACGAATACCAAGTTAGAGCCAGAGGCTTTGAGCTCATTAAATAAAACCGTCACAGTAATCAAGTTGTGCCTTTTTCTCCTGCTTTGATGCCATTAAAGCTCTTTTATTAAGATGCCTTATTTTAAACACAGCTGCAAAGGAGGCAAGAAACGGAGGAGAAAGAGAAGCCATCATTTGATTTTTCTCTCTTCCTCCTTTTCCAAAGAAATAGCTTGCTGTCTCTCCTCTAACTCCCCTCGGAATTTAAAATACCAAGGCAGCAGAGATGAAACATTGCCTTCTTTTTGTCTTTCTCTCCCCTGGGGATAGTGACAGTGAGAGGGAGGAGAAGCGCCATAATTAAGACACCTAAAGGACACTTCCCCCTGCACCTCCCTCCTTGTCACTCACCTCCACACAAGCCACAGAGAAGAACACTTAGAATACGTTGAGGGTTGTAGGGTTGTTAGTATTTGGGTTTGCATGTAAACCCGACACTGTACGGTATGAGAACTTGACTGGATGTGTACATGCACAGTGAAGATAAAGTTAGTTTTTTATCCCAATTAGTGCTAAGTTAATTGTGTATGTCAAATAGAAATGATTTGCAAAGTGTATCTAAAGAAGGAAAAAGCAAAAGTTCATTATTGTTTGCACTTGACAAAAAGAGCAAACAAATAGTTTGGGTGTACTGTTTTGTAGAGAAAAATATACTTGTCACTTTTTTTGTTGTTAATCATTCTTCAGACCTGAATTGAATGAAGACAGCTGCTGACCTCTGTCCAAAGTGGTTCTGGTTTATGTTCAAAGCATTTTGATCTTCAAGCTTTTTGTGCAGGGTGGAGAAGTGCATCCCCTTCTTTACTTGTTACTGTCAGTTGTCAGTCAGATATGTATGGTGGGGGAAAAAAGTGGGACAAATCCCTGAACATGTAAGTTTTTAAAATGAATGTCTAGCTTTTCTTGTTTTGTCTGGCATAAAACAACAAGGTGCGTTAGTTCTGCTACCGGAACAGCACCATTCCCAGTGTTAACCTTTTCTGTTTCGGTTGACTGGCTTGTCGGGGACACAGGGGAGATGCTTCCTCCAGTGCTGACGTTGTTCGCTTCGGAGTTAACTCCCATCAAGTTTCCAAAGTTTAGCAAAAAATGTTTACAGAGTGGTGAACTCACAGTGAGGGCCTTTTGTACCAGACCTGTGCAATGTCCCAGCCTTTCTACACTGTGGGCTTGGAACTAACTGAGGTGGATAAAAATGTTTGCCATTGAGGAATAT